GACTGTTGTCAACCAGCATTCAAATAATGCCGCTCAGTTTTACTCTACCTCGTCGACTTCTTTGTCGACACAACCACAGCAACTAAGTTGCTTTAAAAGTTTTTTAAAAGTAAAACAAGAAAAAAGTGTACCACAAAACAAAAGAGTTATTTATTTATGTATTTTTCTTTTTGCTTAATCGACTACATAGTGTTTACTGTATTATCGTAGAGATAGATGGAAACCTTATCGCGTTAAAACTAATGGAAATTCTTCTATCCGACGGTTGTAGTAGCATTGTTGTGGTATGACCATCGAAAGAACATGCCCCACACTGTACAAGTGATAGAGACTATTGGTGATGGTGATGGCATCTTATGACGTCATTAGTACGTCGATCATGGTTCGAATTGGAAACCAGATTGCTGAATACGCCGTAGGAGGCGCTTCTATGCAACGGAGCCATCAGCTTTCTTTGTATCCACCGCCGAGGATTTTTCTTGAAAACATTGTAAGTAGTTTATTGGACAGCTTTCGAATCTTATAATCATATACCTACAGTTAATGCACCTCTAGTTAATGCTTACAGAGAAATTAGCGACATACGTAACTAAAATGAGTAAAAAAGAACTACCTAATACATTGGATAACAAGTAATAAAAAATAAATGAACGTAACTTTTATTGTTATTTAAATTGAAAAGAGGCACTAATGAAGTAGTTGAAAATATAATGGAAAATATGAAAAAAATCATAGTCTCACTTAACAACTGCATAGTGTCTTGATCTCATCAAAGTTGTGGATTGATTAGGAGTTTGGGTGCTCCTATAAAACTCAAAATCCTTACAATACATTAATCCACCAAAAGGAACCAAGTTCGATAAAAATACAAAAATGGTATCCACAACAGGGAGTTTAATGTTTTCTAAAAATTATTAATGTTTTTGTTGCTCTTATACTTATTCTACTGACTCATAATATTTGCGATCACTATATTAGTTGAACACAATTATTACGATGGTCAAGTTTGATTATCTTTGGCATTTTCCATAACTTTCGATATATTTCATGTTCATCAAATGAAAATATTCAGACTGTTCTGTAATATGTTTTTATTTAATGTATGAAAACTTAATATGGAATATGTCTATAATAGTAGGAAAAAAATGGTAAAATATCATAAACGGCGATGTTTGACTACCAAAATAATTGTGTTTAAATATGAGAATGATCATAAATGTTATCAGTTATTATAAGATACATATATGGAACAATAAAGTAATTATTTTGAAAAACTCACTCCTATGGGGTCATTTCGTACTCTTATCTATTCTAATTCTTTGTATGGTTTTATTAGATAATATTCGATTCATTTTCATTTAAATAACAATAAGTGGGTAGGTTCAAGTCAATACACCCATTCACAGTAATAGATAACCTAACATTCAGGAATTAGGCTTTAGTCCTTTTCAAGGTTTCTAAAGAATATCGCTGTCGAACAAAATCTTTTGGTACGTACTCAATGTCGGTGTAGCTTCTTTTCCTCAGTATTCTGGACGAGGGTTTCCTGCCCAACATGTAGTAGTTAAGAAATTAAAGCACTAAAACTTCGATTTTTGTGCTATTAGTCGGATCGAGATGCAGTTTTCTGCATTTGATTCGTGAAACCATCTACCAAAGTTTGTGAACACAAGAGATGAGTTTATTTTCAAAAATGCATCGATGTATAAGAAAAACTAAGAATTATAAGCAAAGTTGTTTCTGCAACTTGGTTGGTAACGATAGAAATGTCCAATTTTTTACTAGGGGGTTTTAACGGTCGCTGAACTCGAATATGGAGTCGACAATGACCCCCGAGGTACCTGGAGCTCAGAGCGACCGTCATACACGTCGTCTCCAGGAGTTATGTTTTGAATTCATTAAAAACCAATTGAAATTATTTACTCGGGGGTTTTGAGTTCACAAAATTTGTGAACGGTCTCATTAATCGAACGTATCGGAAAACTGCATCTCGATCGGACTTACTGCACAAAAATTTAAAGGTTTGGTCTATTTTTGTACTTTATTTCGTCGACTATGGTTATTGTAAGTAAATTCTAAACTGCTTTTCATTATATGTTGTCAAAATTGTTCAATTGTTATAAATTGTGGACATCCNATAAATATTAATTGTTGTTAAATAAACATTTACTGTAATACACTTACTGTAATATAACTGCACAGATATAACCAAAAAATTAATTTAGGACTAGGTACAGTATAGTGAATATACATTATACTATAATGTATGAGATGAGGAGTCTAAGAAGCATAAGAAGCATAGCACTGATAGTCAAACTTTTAATAAAACAATGAATGCTATTTGCAGAAAATATGATTAGGCCAATGTTAACTCTCCGAAAAAGAAATACTGTTGAACAAGGTGAATGCGTTTTTAGTGTCAAGCTTATAAAATTTGAAAAAATATCCAAACCTTCAGATATTGTGTATCATATTTTTCAAACTCAAGTATTCAAATGTTTGTTTATAATTTGATTTCAATATCCATATAATCCGTAATCTGAATGTTTGTAAATATATAAGTATTGCAACAACCAAACTATCAATAAGCCAAATAATTGAATATCCATATATTTAATCAAATACACGCATTTGAATTTTCAAAAATTTTTAAATAAGTATTTGAAATATGATAATTTGAACAGAATATAGAAAAGCAGAATTTTGCATTACTTATATCTAAACTTCTAGTTTATTTTCTAATTTTCCGAATATGTAAGTATATTTGTATGTATAAAAAACAGTTAGTTTTCATTAAAAAGTAATGAAAACAATTTAAAGTTTCTGTTGGAGGAGCTATTCCAATCTGTTACTGTACAGGTCAACTTTGTATTTGATTTCGAACCAAGGCAATATTTTGTGCGCACCATTATCAATTGTAGATACCTGTATACAATATATATAGTATTTTCTAAAAGAAATAATAATAAATTGTACGTACAATATACTGGTTTGGTGGTGTAGGTATTATCTGCTGAACACACCCATTCATATTGCCATGCATAGTCTAATAATGTCTAACCTACTTTTATATTTTGCATACGTATTAAGGGGCGTCCAACTCCAAAATCCAAACTCTCTCTTAATATTTACCTATTGAATGTATTTTGGTCTTGTCAACTTCAGAGAGGTTCTTTGCCCCTCTCCCCATTAGTCTGTAAGCATTTTAATAAACAATTCTAACTATTATTATGTAAAATCCTTGATTTGAGTTACAAGTTTAAAAGTCCTTCCATTATGTAACAGTACTGATCTATCTGACGGACCCAACTAATCGTTAGTTTGTATTTATTACAAAATTTAAAGATTCTGTGCCCATTAGAAATAAAACTATCACCCTTCAAACTGTTTAAATACCATTAATGTTGTTATTAGCTTCCGTTGCAATTAATCTAACTGAAAATCTAAAAACGGCACAGTAAACGCCATCTCTAGTTCATTTGGTGGAATTCAATATGTTCAACAAGGTCTATTTACATAAATAGTTTGTTGAACTGTATCCACGGCGTAGCTCATCGCACATGATCGGCACCTTACTAAAATCGATCAAACAAATTTGTGGCGGTCAGTATGACAGACGTGGGTCGTGATTTCGATCTAAACGTATTAAGGCAGCAGTGTCTGTGTTCTGTAGAAGCTATCTATGACGTGCTGATGAGATCCAATCGTGATCCACGTCTGGCAGTTTCGGCAGAATACAGACCGCCATGAATTTCTCTGTTCGCGGTCAACTGTTAGGGATGAAAGATTATTTACTGTAAAAATCGATAGTACCTAATAAGAATATACCTTTTTGTTATCTACTTTTTGTAATATTGGAATTAACATCAACATATAGCTATGAATATTCCACAAGAGAAATGTTATTCGAGACAACCGTTCTGTTTTAGATTGTGCCGTTATCGCGTCATGAATTCGGGAATTCGAGAAAATAGACGATCCTCGCTGGATGCATTGCAAGACACACAATAAATAAAAATCGTCCGAAGCGGCGTTTCATCGCGACGTTGCAAACGATCGATCCCCGCTGGATGTCGTCGTCGTAAACCTTTCAAGTACCCACAATAAAAGTATATCACCTTATTTCCCGGCCAATTCCGCACAGTTCAGTTTTCTCTCGAAGAAGTCGTATTGGAAAGTGGCACGCGAGAACATACCATACATAAGAATACACCGGAGGGAAATTATTGCCGTTTTCCACCGTAAATTCGAACATTGTTGGCGGCTTGGCTAAATTTACTTTTCACTTAAACGCACCAACGTCGTTCCCGGGATGTTATTAATTTATATTTCGTTGCTCTAATTTGATGTAAACGAACTGAGATTATTGCAGAAATAAATAAAAACGCTGTCCATGAATGGTCTTCCAGTGGGACGTTTCTTAGTATAATGGCTAATTTTTTCACTAGAGGGCGCCAATATTGATTTGACTGTTAATTGGCTGATTGTTGGCCGATTACGATTACTGAGAAGTCGATCCTAGTAGATTGTAACAAGCTTAATTAGCATATGAAGAAGTTTTCCAATACTTTTTGCAATAAAAAAGTTGTGATTAATGGTTGAAAAATTTCATGGTTTTTGGTCAAAAATATTAACGTCAAGTAAAGTCGAAAAGGTGAGAAGCGTTCAAAATGTGGTGTTACAGTCGAATGATGACGATAACGTGGATAGAGTAGAATGAGAAGGTATTAGAAAGAGTAGAACAGGCTCAATAAGAAGTAGGTGAAATGGGTTAGCAAGCTTTCTAAGAATGAAGGGCTCGTTAGAGACATATTGGAAGAAGAAACGGAAGTTATGGGGGGAAGATTAGATTATCATTCATAAACAGTTAAGGATGTGAGATGTTGTAGTTTTCGGTGAATGCGAAGATTNTTAAATATCTTATTTTTAGATATTAAATGTACGATTAGCTAAACAATTTCTATTAAAACTCTAGTCGTAGTGCAGGACCGTACCTCGTAGAGATAATAAAAAACACAACATCAAACGTAAATAAACAGGATTGTACAAGAAGTGTTAAGATTAGCGTATATTTATTTTCTTGGGCGACATTAAAAAGCTAAACCTTTTGAAGCGAACACGTGTTGTTGTCAGCCATAAACACTTTTCGTTTATTTCACATAATAAGCACATGTCTGGTTGGTAGTTAACAATATTTTACCTCACCGACAAAATTTTTAAACATCAGGTCGTGTACAAGAAGTATTTTGTCTGTCGCGGATATATGTTAGATTACCTAACCCTAAATGATTAAAATTGAAAGCGTTTTTTGCTTTTTTTTTGTAATTTAATAGTTCTTTTATATGTAAAAGGGTCTAACGAGACATTTTTTATTCTTTAGCTAGATTAAAAGAAAGCAATTACAGCGGCCAATTAAATTTTGTAAAATAAAATTTCAAAACAGATACCATGTGGTTATACCATTTTAAGTCGTAAAAATAATAGTCAACAAGAATTTGTTGAAATACAAGGTGTACTTGTAGACAATTACCCATGTATGTATTATACATACGTATTGATATAGTTGAATATTTCTTGCGACAATAATAAAAAATGAAAATTGTAAATTACTGCCAGTATTCTCAGATATAAATAAAATGCTCTACTCCAATCAAACTTACAAACCTACTACATGTATTCAATAACATCACAACACTGACCTACGATAAGATAATAAATAAAAATCATAAATAAACATGGTCTAACTAGGATAAAAAAGAAAAAAGAAAGATTAATAAATAAAAGAAACGAATAATAAAAAAGACATAAAACTTCATAACGATTAATAAATTATAACTGATACATTGTGTGAAACCATTTTTCAATAATACTAATTAACCTCATTGCTCTTTAACTGCTTTAATTAATTTACATGTCATTAACTTTGTTTACAGGAAACGATTTGCACTCCTGCCTAATACATCTGTAATAAAACATATTACCTATTTGTAATTAAATAAGTAAATTATCTTGTTAAAGTAGATACTCGTTAATTTACCATAAAGAAAAATAAATTACATGTTTATTATAAGTGAATATATTGATTGTTATCTANGTTGTGATTAATGGTTGAAAAATTTCATGGTTTTTGGTCAAAAATATTAACGTCAAGTAAAGTCGAAAAGGTGAGAAGCGTTCAAAATGTGGTGTTACAGTCGAATGATGACGATAACGTGGATAGAGTAGAATGAGAAGGTATTAGAAAGAGTAGAACAGGCTCAATAAGAAGTAGGTGAAATGGGTTAGCAAGCTTTCTAAGAATGAAGGGCTCGTTAGAGACATATTGGAAGAAGAAACGGAAGTTATGGGGGGAAGAGGTAGACCTAGATTAGATTATCATTCATAAACAGTTAAGGATGTGAGATGTTGTAGTTTTCGGTGAATGCGAAGATTAGGTCAGGATAGGAAAGAGTGGAAGTGAGTGTCCGAGCAGTCTTAGAGATGACGACCTTATTATGATGATAAACGCAATAAAGGGATGCGGTCTATTGTGCCACATGTTTTGACACTTGCAAAAGAATCAAAACCGATGGGGTATTTGCCGTTAACCTAGAATCACGAGGCAAGAACAAACGTCTGACAGTTTGGGAAGAATTGTTACTTGTTGTATCTGATTTTTTGATCAGATGAATTTGTACTGTGTCAACCAGGAATTATATTAATTATGTATGACCCGGACCCGAAATGGTAGATGATAACGGTTAGTACTTTAGTTTGACAACTAGTAATATCGAAATTGATGCAGTCGCTCATTACGTAGCGGATTTTGTGTTTTCTATGCTTTTTAGTGATAATACTTTTTAGACTCACTCGTTTTGGGTTAAGTTACTGTTCGTATTTCTAGTTTGATTGGCCTTAACCTAAATGAAAAAGAAAATAAATCATTTCCAAATATAAATTGCGTTTATTTCCTTCAGACATTTGATCGGGTTAAGCCGGTCCTGTAAGGCCGTTTGTTCAAGTTTAATAAATATGCCGAAACGCCATCCCGGTCTCTTTAAAAAATAATTCCTCTCGCTCGCAAACACGTGAACTTTATTGTCCGTTACCGTCGAACGAATGGCACAAAACAGCAAAGAAGCATGAGCCCTGTCATGCTTTATAAAGAATGTATTCTGGAGGTTACATATGCCTTCACAAACATACATATTACACACACACATATTTTTTGCAGTGTGGGTGCGCTTCGGTGGAATAACAGAAAGAAAAGAAATGAACAACATGGGGGCACATATGCACGCGTCCATAATGTATTTTCTCAAAAGGATTCCCAAGAAAAATGCATCCGAACGATCCCTTTGACAGACATGAAACATTTCTAACCGACGCGACGCGACGGACCGCTCACCCTAAGCATAATAATAAAATATAAGGAACAAATGGCGTGTCGAACAGAATTAATAATAAGTTATTTGAAGATCACTTAAACAGAATGGTATGATTCATTCATTCAGTCATTCTTGTTTGTGATCGGTGTCTTTTTTTTTGTAAATGCTTTACTAAAAAGTACCTACCCATATTACCTTTAGTAACTCTCTGTTTGGACATTAGAAACCAGAATTTAATCTGTTGTTCAAAATCCTTCATCTTACACATAAGTCCAGATTATTATAATATGATAAATGTAACATTGTCATGAAGAATCGATATGAATACAGTAGATTTCGGGTATGTCGTCGTTATATCCGGAAGTCGTTACAGGCAAAGGTAAAAGATACAGACACGTACAGGTCTGACGAAGGAAGCTGGCGAGCGGTCGCGCAGGTACTTGCCCATTTATGACCTATTTGGGTAAGTCACTTGGTACCGATACACAAATAAGCTTTCAGTAGGCGTAAATTGTAGTATTAATACAGATGGGACAGTAGCGTACTAGAAAATAATGTAGAAACATGACNTTGCACTCCTGCCTAATACATCTGTAATAAAACATATTACCTATTTGTAATTAAATAAGTAAATTATCTTGTTAAAGTAGATACTCGTTAATTTACCATAAAGAAAAATAAATTACATGTTTATTATAAGTGAATATATTGATTGTTATCTAAAAAATATGTAATTGCATTCACTTAACAACAAAATGTTTATGATAAATGTCAGTTCAAAGGTCAAATAGCTTAAAAGAATAGAATAAAAAATGTATATACCTGCGCATTTAATCACGTTTTCTCATTACTTTAAAGGTATATGTCTTCCAATAACGGTTTCATATCATCCAATGGGAAAACCCTGAGGAAGCACAAAATTATGTAAAACAAATCAAACAGAATATAGTAAATGCAATTGTTAAATTGTTGTTGTTTTGTTAGGATCCGTTCCAGGTACGTAACACCGTTTAGAGGAGAGGGGGGTCTTGTTAAACGTTATGGAGGGTTAACAGAGGGAGGGGGAGGCCAAGAAATGCGTTAGATATGTGATATTATACTTTTGTTTGTGATTTTACTGGACACAATTGGCTTTTTTATGTAAAAATGGTCACGTGGGGTCTTGTAGCTTTTGGGGGGTAATGAGAAAAGTATGACGTGTTATAGAGGGCAAGGGAAGTTAAAAACCGCATGATGTAGTACTCGAAAGGCTCCTTATTAAATATTGTTACTTTTCGTAAAGATTTTATTACTTTCAATGAGATACATCTTTAGGAGTTTAATCTCAAGTTTTCTGATATCTACTGTGAAAATACATATGAAAACTACATTAAACTTTGAATTGATGTTGTCCTGTTTCGGGTCTAAAGGCCGTCGTCAGTTTTGCTAGCACGATGCTGGATGTGGAATTCTCTGAAGAAGCTAACCACTCATGCTAACGAAACGTTAGGAAGAAACTTCAACCGATGACGATTATTATTAAACCCGAATCAGGAAATATTAGTTCACCAACAATTTGACATTAAACTTTAATATAAAAAGACGAAGCAAAATATTCACTTATAAATATAAAAAAAATTGAAAATGTGCTGTACATATAATTCCTGTACACATATATTTGGATTACCTACCACAACTTCTTTTATTTTAAAAAGAAATTTTTTTTAATTTGAAATATTGTAAAATTTATTAATAACAATAAATACATTCGGTTTTACTCGCAATTAAAAAATTTTGTAAATTAAAATAAATTAACTTCTACACTTCTTTATTGCCTGTTGTGACTTCTTCAGAAATTATAGAATAGAACAGATTCATGAAGGCAATAAAAAAACTACGGAAGCACAAGTAAAAGCAGACCCAATCAGTAATAGGTAATTTTGTAAATTGGAATTTAAAATTAAAAGATGATTGAATTGAATAAGCATATTCCATAAAGGATGATTAAGATCTAACACAACACATGCTTTTATTGAACGTCATCCTCTCTGTAATATTTAACATTGTATTTTTTTTTAAGTTATACTACAAATTTTGTATTACCTTTCATTGATTTTGAATTAGTTGTTCTTGTCAAGTGTTATAAAAAAAGGTAGGTAGCAACCCTAATATACTTATACCTAACACTTCATGGAAGTAAAAAGAAAGTTAAATCAGTACCCACACAACAAATGAAAGGGTTAGTTTGAGAGATCAGTAGAGAAAGTTAACAAGTTTCATGTAGCTCTAGCAACCCTTTCGAAAGCTTTCTAAATTTTATTGCTACGGTAACTTCTAAAGATTTAAAGCTTAATCGTTTGGTGACTTTGTATCTATAAGTGCAGTGGTTTGTGCAGTTAAAATCTAATTTATATTTTCGGCAAAATTAAGCCCAATTTTTAAGTGCTTAATTCTTTTATAGTTAATATATCTTAACTTTNAACCAAAGTCGTAATAAATGAAGTCCACTGTATATGTAATGTACTCGTATGTTTTAAATTCAAGGCATTTAGATTTAAAATGATCGCTACAACCAAAGTCGTAATAAATGAAGTCCACTGTATATGTAATGTATAATGAAGTAGTTTGGTCTTCTTCTTCTATTTTTGTGAATCAGAGTGAGTAGATCAGTAATTTTAGTGTGATAATCGACTATTGATTGATGGGAATTGAATATTAATATGTATCGCTCAAAGCTTATGCCATAATTATCAGTTATATACAACCCGTATCATTTTTCTTGTCAATTTAAGTTATTTTTCAAGAACACGTACCTATTTTCTGTAAATTATGAATAAATAATATCCCTGTATAAAATAGTACAACAAATGAGGAAAATAAAAATTAAGACGTCTGATTAAGACGTATTGCAACGATAAATTTAACTAACGGTCGTAAAATGTAGGCATTTGACAGGCAAACTTTTAGAGGATACTAAAATTTCGCCACGATCATAAAATACTTTACATCTCCACGCGTCCAAATTGTAGAAGGAAAAATGAAAATGTGTACGTGAACTATCTTTGCGAATAAATATATTAAACACGAGACGCGGTTAAATCGGCTTCGTATCATTATTACACATTTGAATCACTTGAGTTACTCCGTTTATAAAAATATTAATTTCATACTTAACTACATATAATGGAACGTACCCGTATGAGGGGAGGGGGTTTTCGAAAATGCCATGCTTGGTCGTAGGGAGGCTTAGGTTTTGGTTACGTAGTCAGTATCCTCTAGAGGTCTAGAGAAATCTCCCGCTTTTTCGAACTATGTCTATTCAAAACTTTCAGTTTGCAAAAAATGATTTAAGATCATATTTATGAATTACTACGTGAAAACTAGAGGGTAAGGGGGTCTTGGAATATACCATAGGTGGGCAACGAGGGGGGGAGAGAAGTAAAGAAACTGTAGAAAAGAAGGATCATGCACATTCCCTAACCATCTGTGCCAACTTCGTCAGGCCTTTGGTAAACGCACGCTGATAAACCACCTATGCAGTATTGTACAAATATTGGGATTTTGAATTGAACACATTTATTTAACAGGATAATAGTCAGGAACAGCACCTTTCTAATTTTATAGTCGTAGAATTTTTAGAATGGGTTTTGGNTTTTACAGGTTTCTATACAAATAAAAAAATCGTGCAATCACAATGGCTGCAGTTTCTAATGAATTATTCATTCAACTAACAGTAAAACTACTTACTTCAGAAAAGCGTTAAAAATGCAGTGTGCTATGGAAGTTATCAAACTGTGTCTTAGTGGTTCAAATAATAATAAAATTCATTTCATGATATGTGAATTCAATAAGAATAATATTTGCTGTTGGGTTTTCCTTTTGATAATGAAGAGGCAAACGGATTTTAATAATGTGTTACAATGGCGAGACAGATCCGCCTACAGATCAGCCATCATATCAGGCAGGTCAGGCTCCGACGTCAGTATAAAAGGTAAATTATACATGTATTCACTTTATAAAACATATTACCTATTTGTAATTAAATAAGTAAATTATCTTGTTAAAGTAGATACTCGTTAATTTACCATAAAGAAAAATAAATTACATGTTTATTATAAGTGAATATATTGATTGTTATCTAAAAAATATGTAATTGCATTCACTTAACAACAAAATGTTTATGATAAATGTCAGTTCAAAGGTCAAATAGCTTAAAAGAATAGAATAAAAAATGTATATACCTGCGCATTTAATCACGTTTTCTCATTACTTTAAAGGTATATGTCTTCCAATAACGGTTTCATATCATCCAATGGGAAAACCCTGAGGAAGCACAAAATTATGTAAAACAAATCAAACAGAATATAGTAAATGCAATTGTTAAATTGTTGTTGTTTTGTTAGGATCCGTTCCAGGTACGTAACACCGTTTAGAGGAGAGGGGGGTCTTGTTAAACGTTATGGAGGGTTAACAGAGGGAGGGGGAGGCCAAGAAATGCGTTAGATATGTGATATTATACTTTTGTTTGTGATTTTACTGGACACAATTGGCTTTTTTATGTAAAAATGGTCACGTGGGGTCTTGTAGCTTTTGGGGGGTAATGAGAAAAGTATGACGTGTTATAGAGGGCAAGGGAAGTTAAAAACCGCATGATGTAGTACTCGAAAGGCTCCTTATTAAATATTGTTACTTTTCGTAAAGATTTTATTACTTTCAATGAGATACATCTTTAGGAGTTTAATCTCAAGTTTTCTGATATCTACTGTGAAAATACATATGAAAACTACATTAAACTTTGAATTGATGTTGTCCTGTTTCGGGTCTAAAGGCCGTCGTCAGTTTTGCTAGCACGATGCTGGATGTGGAATTCTCTGAAGAAGCTAACCACTCATGCTAACGAAACGTTAGGAAGAAACTTCAACCGATGACGATTATTATTAAACCCGAATCAGGAAATATTAGTTCACCAACAATTTGACATTAAACTTTAATATAAAAAGACGAAGCAAAATATTCACTTATAAATATAAAAAAAATTGAAAATGTGCTGTACATATAATTCCTGTACACATA